GATTGTCATGATATTACGATCAGAAAGACCTGCATGAGACCATAGGGTTATGCCTGTGGCCCTGACACAAGTCAAAATTTGGAACTTMGTCTTCAAAATACATTTTTGGGGGCGTTTTTTCCCTCGAAAGAAACTGTAAATTTTTAATTTTTGAACTTGTACCGCGAAGACACAAAAGTTGTGACGTCACAACTGTGTTTACATATCCTCATGCAAACATGGCTATCAACCAATCACAGCGTGCGTACTATTTAATTTATTTTATAAACAATATTCGTTTAGCATTGAATTATAAGCAATCACGTAGGTTTTTACCTTCTGCATTTAAATCAGCCCAGAAATTCTTTAAATGCAACTGATTTATAAAACACTTTTTTAGATAGCGAACATGATGCATTGTGGTCTAGCTTGGGTACTAACGTATTTTGTTCATCATGCCTTATATGGTTTTGTTTGTACTGAATCTAGACCACAATGCATCATGCTTATCGTGTTTCTTGCGGAAACCTGATACAGATTTCTCACATGCAAATTAATTGATCAATCATCAGGAAGTGGAGATCAAAACATGGTTCTTTCCCAGCTAAAAACTCATTAGAATCTAAATGATAGCCGCTCTCTGTTGGACATTACCTTTGAAAACACAGTCTTTCTCGAGTCTGTGAGAAAAACTTAACGGGTTGCAGAAAATACATCAGACACTATCCTATGGATTTCCCATGGRTCGGTTAACCGGTAGAACGACTTTAAAAGCGAGTGTATTTGTGGATGAGGGTGGGGGATTCGCAATRTTTTTCCCCTTAAAAAAATAAAACAAGTGATAAATTAAATAAGGTAGGAAAAAAATTAGAAAAAACTTCACTCTTATTGGAACGTTTCAAGAAGAAAAACAAAATTATGCGCAAGCTTAATTGAAAATCGGAGTGCTTTAATCACACGATAAGGGGGAAACATTACTGACAAACAAACGAGCTCATTGAACTAAAACTGTAATAGCTACAGGCGGAATATTGGCGCATTAGCATAAACATAAATAAGATAAATATGACCTGGAGGATTGAAGATTGTTTTGAAGTTTTTAGATATCGACTAATGTTTAAGATGTTTACAACTACCGAGGATCTTTCCGGAACAAAGCTAGTGAACTGTATATTCATATAATTATTTTTACTAAGATGAACACCTCATAAGATATAACTGATACTGATTCTGAGCAACAAATCAAAAGTTAAAAGCTTCAGTAAAAACACAGTGTTTTTGGTTGAAAATTCATGTGTTTAGTCTAGATATCGATAGTATATGCAGAGTAAGGTGCCTAAAGCAGATTTGGTGGCACCTAAAATCGTTCACATGTGCCGTTATCAATTTTTCATATTGAATTCTGAACTATCCATGTCAGACACACGCAAATCAAAGCGCCTGGATGTTAGTCCGCAGAGATTATTTTAATGAATTAAAAATCCTTAATGAAACGATAGAATTACTCATTGATAATTGCCTCTCATTTTACTCTAACAAGAAAAAAATTAAGAGTTTCTTTGTTTGTGGGAGTCATGATTTATCTACTTTTTTGTTTCATCCACGATTTTTATTTTCATATTCCTGCTCCGAGCTTTCGGGTTACAAACCCATCGTCAGGGAAAACTGATTGAAATTACATTCAAAATTGCGAGACAAGGTGTTATTTTCAGGCACAGCTTTTGATCTAGAGGGTTCTGATGATTGCAAACCCTGATTCAAATTGAAATAGTATAAGATTATTTCGTTTCGTTATTCCTAAGCCTATTTAGATAAAATACTAGAAAACCAAATATTAAAGAGATTAAGCTTCCCGTTTTTCTTTCCTTCAAACGGCAAACACGACCATGTATTCATCGTTTCCCTGTATTTCACTTTACCTTTTGCAACCCTTCTCGCCAGAGAAAAATATTCCTTTACTTATTTATCTACTACTTTGGATTTTTTTTACGATTTCCTTTACTCAATATTCACCCTATTGACATTGTCTAAATGGCTTCAACCCGTCTTTCTCTCGAGGTTGGAACGAATGTCCTTCGATCCAACGATCCGATTGGTTGTTCGTTTTTTTGCATTTCTTATGAGATCTAAGTACGGCTCAGGCGACAATCTTTACTGGGTAGAACCAATTGATCTAATTTTAGAAGAGACGGGTTGAAGCCATTCAGACAATGCAAATAGGGTGCAATACTAATTACCCTGTATGATAGCTACAAATGATTCATGACGCGAAACGCAGCGACACGTGACCCATATCTCATGATGCATGATACACGTCACGTGACAATGGCCTCATATTAATGTACGTCTCATACTGCCAAGCAAATGAAACACGAAACAATACGCGCGACTACTCACGATTAATGGCCTACACGAAACACACCCACACCGCACACGAACGGCTATTATATATCGTTCTTCTCGAAGCTACAAGTGCACTTCAAAGAGTGCACACCAAAATACTTCTGATATATATTATTTATTATATCACCCGTACGGCCCTGATCGCGCGCTCTAATAAAACCTTTGGAAAAGTGTTGAAACATGTTGACGTAAGCGGAGCGGCAAAACCCATACGGCCCTTCTAGAGGTTTACGCGCGCTGTATTTAACAATTTTAGCAGTATTTTTCAGCATTTTTTACGAAAAATGAGTCATTTGATAAAGAACTAAAGGTAGTTCTGGCCGTACGGGAAAATATTCGGGTCTAGGTTATGAGGTCTCTATTTCCTGCTAATCATTTCTTTAAAGATAATTATTTAGTAAAACATTAATGTAAATATTTGAAAACATGCCAAAAAGAATAAAGAAAAGAAAATATGAAATCTCTATAAAGATATCATAAAGTCCCTATAAAGATGCTTAAAAATATAAAACTAGTTAACCCATAAAATGCAGTTACATTTTATGATATTATATACTCGCTTAGTGTTCTCTGTACTAGTGTAACTGGCTGAGAAAGGATTCACTACTTTCGTTTTCTGCAAGACAAAACAAAACCTTACTAGACAAAAAAAGTTAATAGTAAGTTGATAATCAATTTGAATTTTGTTTTTAAAAAAAACATGTGTAGTCATAACTTCTCAATGAAATGTTTAAATTTAACGAATGAAAATTAATCGAAGAAGCCAATCGTAATCCATCTAGAATGTGAGTAATTAATAGCCTTTACAGAATATTTTTTTAAAAACTTAAGAAGACAGTTTTTACGATAAATTTTTGATTAAATGTCATGAAATTAATTCAATATCCTACTGGCAGACGGGGAAGTCCTTTGATGTAGACTTTGTCTGTTGGCTGACACTGTTTGAAGTTTAATAGACATTTGGAGAGGAATTTCTATGTTCTAATCAGTGAAATATGTTTACATTATGAACGACGAAAAGAGAAAAATCAACAACATAAATTTTTTCTTTATTGTAAATTTGATGAATTCATGAACTGAAAGTCAAGCCTTAGCTAATTTATTAAATTTCGAACGAAGACAACGGCCGCCATTTTGCGCGGGAAACTCGACGCGTTCAGGCGCGTCTTTTCACGCACACACACACGCATTAAAATATGAATATTTATCGAAATGAAAGTTAATCAAAAAAGTATTTTTTCTAAAAACAAAGTCCCCGACAAAATCATATTTGCTGATCTTTAAAAATTAAACAAAGAAAGTGTAAAATAGCCTGGCAGGACTCAAAGAAAAAACCCGCCGTTAAATTTAAAAAACAATTGAAAAAGTTCGAACCCTGGATTTTTCTGAGAAATAATCATTGGAGATCTGTCGTGTGAATAAAAATGAAACGAAAGCTAACCTTTTTTTATTTGCAAAAGACGCCGATAAGCAGATAACAGAGTACATCCTCACTAATAAGAAAGCATTAGTATATCCATTACTGGTCGTCAATTCTGTTGTCAACAACGTGTTACAGCGACCGAGAGCCCTTGAAGTGGAAGGTATATTATCGTAAGATAACACCAGTGATGACTTTATTACTTCTAGTTTTATGCATTGTTAATGGTTTTCTTCACTTTGGCTTTTGTTCGAATTTGATAGCTGTTATTCGGTCTATAATACCATATGAAAAATATCTCTAAATCAAGATCTCATCTATAGATCTACAGAGAATAGGCTGAATATTTGGAGTGGAATCAAAAAGTAATTTTTTTTCTTTTTTTGAAACTGAATATGGGTTTTGTTCTACCGTGCCCTTGCTTACCTTACAATTTTTAATTTAATACCTCTTCTGAGTTGAGTTACGCGTCGACAGAGGCCAAATATCGCCACTATTATAAGCACTAGGTCTTGGTTGCTATAGACAGTAACTCAAGTAAAGGTGGAGTTGGAATCCCAATCGATCTTTGGTCCAAGGTAGCCTCTAATTCGGTCCATAAAGAAAAGCCGTGTTCGAAGATTTTATTTGATTCTTAGGAATCTAATCTCGATCGTAAATGAAATTGAATTTAAATTAATGCGTTATTTGTCTAAGCCTAATTGTTCAACAAAACGAGTGAAATAAGAAACATTGATTTTCAGACTTCTTACCTCTAAAAGGAGAACTGACCATAGAAATGTCGTCTCGATGCAAAGTCCAAAGATTGAATCTCAAATTTATTTAAAAGCCCCATTAGTACGTACTTTCCTAGGGTTCAAAATCATAAGCCACATATTGTAAAATATAGCAAGTCAGAGTCAAAAGTGGTAAAAACGGCTGCACTTTTGCGCTCGCTAACATTCTTCAACACCATTGTGTGCGAACAGATTCATTCGTATTAACATCTCTTCATAAACAGCAAAAGTTAAGGCCAGACTTTAAATCATGCATATATGTTTTATAGTTTCAACCAATCAATTCGCAGCATTTTTGGAGAACAACACTATATTTAGAATACAATATTAATAACAGGTGAAAAGAAACTAAAGTAGATTACTCCTCGCGCTTCTGCTTAAATTACTGTTTAATTTGAAATGAAAAATTGAAAGTGTAAATTGACTTAAAAAAAGCCTGTTCGTAGTAGTTTTTGCAATTTTTTAATACAAAAATTTATAAAGAACTCGGGAACATGTACAATTAAAAAGGCATCTCAGTTTTCTCTCTTGATGAAAAAAATTTTTTTCCTAGTGACTTTAAATTTCTTTTTCAACATTGTTGTCAGTTCCTGTGGCGAGCGATTGGTTTGGAAGTTAAGTTTGGCCAGGTTGGCAAACGACATGTGCAAATATATATTGAAGCAATTGCAAATATATTAACAAAGACGCTGGAGAGAAAACACAAGGGATAATAAAAAGACTGAAAACAAATTTAGAATCACAAAAGAAAAATAGTAACCATTGGTTTAAACGCAAAGTTCATGTCATTCGAAATGAACAAGTAAATATTATTAAGCACTAAATTAGAAATAACGAATAAGAAATAATAATAATAACAATAATAAAACGATTTAAAAAAATGATCAAAAGAATGAAGAAATAATGAAAAAAAAGAAGAAGAAAGATTAAAAATTAAGAAATAGAGTTCTAAGAACACAAAAATAGATATCATTTGTTTTCTATTTTATTTGTTTGTGCGTTCTTTCCTCTAAAATTATTATGGCCAAAGGTTAGAGCATAAACAGTTATACTTCAATGTGTTAGGCAAATAAAAGACAGTAAGTCAAGCGAAAAGTTCCAAAATAAGAAAAGTTGCAGCCTTAATTACTTGACTGATCACGAAACAATGGTTTCAAGTCGAGGTTGGAATGATGAGGTGAACTTACCCTGAAGCCCTCAAATGCGAAGCCAACTCGTCAGTGCCACCAGAGACTGCTTTTGGACCCTCACATGAATTCACAACTCTCCGGGTTTTTCAGTTCGCCTCTCTCCTAAAATAAATTACTTATAATCAGTCCAAATTAAATTTTGCCTTCAAATGAATGGAAATTCATTAAGTCCACATCCATTTTAATTTAAATCTTATATATTTCTTGTTACGAACTAATCATTTAATCGTTTGTCTGACGACTGCAGCTTATGGATTTCTTATCCCACTTGTGAGGTAAACACATGATACTTCACGAACGGGGGAAAAAGATATTTGTCAGTTTTTATCAAGACAAGATTTACTTACTTACAATTTACTTTACTCCTGGTAAAGTAACTGGTAAGACTTAAATACTGACATAACAGGGCATGTTTTAAATCTCTGGCACACTCACCTGTAGTTTTATTTTTAGGTCTAGAGCCTCACTAAGCTTTTGTGTTTACTGTATTATTCACAACGAAGAGACACTGGACAACTGTTTGAAATTGTTGGTCGAATCGAAAACTCTCTGAGACATTCTTCTGCCATTCTTTGCTCTAATTCATCTACTGAATAACACTTCTCGTTGCTATTACAATTAAGCAAACAGATTTACGTCATATTATGAAGCTTTTCTCATTCATGTTTGTATTTTTCTTGCTCTTTTATATAAAATAGTTTTGGAACTTCTTTGAAGCATCGTCCGCCATTTTTCAAGCAAACGTTCCGGCAAAACAAGTGTGCAAGAAACGGAAATGACGTCAATTGAAGAAGTATTTAGATCCAGGATGTCCCTAGTCCTAGTACTGGCCCTCAATTCACAATTGCGGTTATTTGAAGTTTTCCTTAGGCCGTAAATGAGACCTGTTAATGTTGTAGTGTTGGATTTATTATAAGTTTGAGCGTTCGCTGTCTACGACCTCAACAGCCCGATGAAATATTCATACAGAGCAGAAAAAATAAAGTATGTTAAGATCGTTGGAGCGTAAATGGTTAATTTGTGTTTTAGAACAAAAAGTCTTTTAGTTGTGATACTCCTCTTGGGAGTTGATCTGCGGTTGGAATTTCAAGAATAGCCTGCGTATCGGCGCTCTAGCGGGGGATTGGGAAGGGGGAGAGAGGGAGGTGGAGGGAGCGCCTGCAATGACGCTCTTGTTTTTTGCGTTTTTACTTGTTCTTTCTTTGTGCGGGAAATTCGTATTTGTATAGCACAGCACAGCACTGTCGGCCGAAGTAATGGCGAACGAAGGCTAGATTTTAAATTTAAAGAAAGAACATTATGAATCGATACATCACTTAAAGTTTGATCTTTCAAACGCTGATTTGTTTTGGTTCCCCTAGAGCGCCGCTACGCAGGCTATATGAAGAATGCCTCAAATAACCTAAGATTAGCCGCGCCGTTAATTTTCTTGTGTGGATAATTTATACTTTGATTTCAGGGTATGTTTTTAATTCTTTTAATTTTTGGCATTGTGATGCTTGTTGATAGAGGATTTGTTGTAGTTAAGGACGGTGGCCACTAATTCCAGCGCGCACACTTACTGCGCATATCTACATCGGTTGATATCAGTGGTATTCAACTAGGAAAAATTGCAAATGCATATAGAAAACATCGGCTTAGGACAATATTTAAGCCAATGACAGCAATCGTAAATATTTTTATAAAGGTGAAGATGGTTCAAGAACTAATCATAGTGTTTATTATTTAAAGCGCGCAATCCTCAACTAATAGAATGAAATTACGTACCGTTTGTTTTATTCCCATGCATTTTTGCGCGCCAGCGCGCGTTGCTTCGGAACAGAAATAAACAGAAAAAAAAGATCGACTAGTTCTTAGACTAGGATGCAGTTTCTTATCAGTCAGTAAAACCCACACATTAAGTGTTTATTCACAACTTTATCTTTACTTTTTAACAATGAGATTAATTCATTACAAATAACTTAATTATAGTTTTTAATCTTGCATTTTAAATAGACATTATAAATCTATAATCGTAGTTTTTGACGCTAGCGTTCCATTGGTTTGTAATCCCAATCTAAAAATGTCCTCTAGAGAGGCAGCCGCCGACTTAAAATGAGTTTAGTTATTCCTTTTAAAATTCTTTCTATAACAAATTATCCGCATTATTTAATAGCTTTAATCAAGCTTTCCCATTAAGAAAATTATCAAAATATCACATGACCGTGTCAGAGTAAAACAACTTTGGCGCATGCGTGCGATATTAGTTTGAAAAAGTGATTTTACGTTTTTAGCATTTTTGAAAAGACTTTGAAAAACAAATTTTGCCTATCATTCAGAAGTAAGTTTCAAAGCAGCACGAAGACGTTCCGGACTAATTTGCATACAGACTGCGAGCATGCGCAGACGTTTATCACTAGTTTATTTTCAAGGGCTGTTCCAGGTGTACTAGTCTTACGCAGGCCAAAATAATTTACATTTGTACAAATTTCAATCAAAATTTCTTTCTTTGAAATTTAAAGAAAAAACAGCAACTTATTATTTTTTTGTTGTTGTTGCGAAGATAAATAACCGAGTGACAAACGAAAACATGATCATTAGTTATAATCGCAATTTTAACCCGTTTCCTTTTTGCCTACTAGAATCTAGAACTGAGAAAAGGCCGTCTTAATTCATTAATTCATATCACTTCGATAGTCCTTAACAAGCTGTCCCCAGCAAGATCTTGCCAGGAATCTCTCGACAGTTTGATACGTGGTACGGTGAGTGAGGGCACGCAAAAGTAAAGTATCTTCGCCAGGACGTCGACGCAATGCAATCGCCTGGACCAGGAATAAAGTCCAGGTTTCTGGCTCAAGAATAACACACAAGTAACTACTCGTGTTTGTGTGTAGTTCGTTATCGACTCTTCCAAAAATAGACAACTGAAATCCAATGGATCTTCGTTTTCGGATATTTTAGACAACATCTTCTTTGTTTCCAAACACGCAGAATATGTTGGGACAACACAAGAATTTCGTAGGGAAACCACGACACAAAGCTAGTGGGAAGCCAACCATTTCTAAGCTCTAAAGGTCTGGCGCATATCTCACTCCTTGAATGCAGTGTTAGGTTTATTCTTACTCCTTGAATGCAGGGTTATTGTAAGATGCGTTACAATGTGCCTTAGTGTTAGTGGTCGGTGCGGTAACTTTCAGTGTATCAAGTTTCGTAATGACCGCAGCACTAGTCGGCGCTACACGGTTTCGTGATTCTAGGTGTAAACTAGTGCGCAAACAACGGCTGACATTCTTGAAGCCATCGCGGAAACTCACGTTGAAGAATGAGTACAGAAATGGATTGATGCCGCTGTTCGCATGAGCCAGGAACAAGGAAACGAAATAGAAGGCCTTGATGTCTCTCTGACAGGAGATGGCACCAGGCGCGAAGAACATGATGAACTGAAAGACCCATAGAGGAAGCCAACATGCAGCAAACACAGCAGTGACTGTAACAAGCATGTGGAAAACTTTCTTACGTGATTTCTGTATTTGCAGCTCGGTTTGGTTGATATGCTCGCCCGGCGCCTTTCGCTTCCAAAGCGTTTGACAGATTCTGAGGTATAAAAAAGCCATTCCTAGAAGTGGCGAGAGATACATGACGGTGAAGAGGATAATAGTGAAGTCTTTTGGCGCCTGTGAGGGGTTGAATGGTGGACCCCATTCCTCGACGCAGTAGTACTTTCCATCAGGATAAGCTTTAGCTTTTTGCGCTGAAATCAAAGGCGCCATTATACTTAAACTTATGATCCATATTACAACTACGATGTACTTGGCTTGATCGATACCTGGTCGGCGCCGAAGCGGAGACACGACGCACAAGTATCGATCACCAGTCACTGCTAATAGAGTCAAGACTGAACAAGCTACTGCTACGCTCTGGAGGTACACCACCATCTTACAGACGAAAGATCCAAATATCCAATGAGGCATATACAATTCTGTGATCATATTTGGCATACCAGTGAACGTTATTAAAATATCGGACGCGGCGAGATTAGCGATGRACCAGTTTGTCATGTTACGTTCTTGAATGTTCCTATAGACGACGTAAATGACTGTGCTGTTACCAATGATTGATATTAGAATAATTAAGACGTACACAAGCGTCTTGAAGGCTTGGGTCAGCGGCGTCTCCTTGTACTCGGCGCAGGCCATCGCTGTCGAGTTGCTTGCATTCATATTCTGGGTTCGTTTCTTGATTTCTGTGAAAATGGAAAAACAATATTTAGGACTAATATGAAAATGTCGTTTATTCGAGTTTCATCGAATTTACATCCATACGCACGTAAAATGAAGGACTGAGATGTGAGGAGTTTATCATTAATCACCAGTAAAAGTAAATACATTTATTAAGATTGACTTGTGTAATAAAATATGAAATTTAATTGAATCATATCAAATAATTTTTTTTATTTTATTGGCTGTTTTAGTTTTGTGACTCCTTTACATTAAATCATCCTTTTATGCCAATTATTTACGTATTAGTTTTCGTATGTATTTTTAGAATCATACATACATTTTTTATTATTAAATTTTAATAAATAATAAAAATAAATAATAAAAATAAATAAATAAATTGAAAGTTACCGAGTCGAGAAATTAAGCAAGATCAGAGAGAGAAAATTCCGACTTACTTCTAGAACATACTAGAACACTGTTATATAAGAGCGAATTCGTATATCGCACTTTTACATGCTAATGAATTTTGCTAATATTCAAATGAGCTGTTTTCGAACCAAATATATTCTTGCAAATACTC